CAAAAGTAAGAAAATGAGACTTTCGAGCTTGACCATTAGTTCAAGAATAGTGACCTGTTAACCACCTGTGAGCAAATTTTCGTACTGGCGTCAACGAAGAGATGAGAATTGGAGAGGAAATTAGAGGTTTAAAGTAGTCAATTAGGTACTTCTTTGTCAATTCCTACAGATCTTCGTCAGAAGAAGAATATGTTGGAATTAAGTGTAAAATCGTGAAAAAGTAACTTTTCTGTCAACTTCGACCAAATATTCGGGTTTGATCCGATAGTCAAATTATGAAAATAAATAGACTAACTTATTCTACTCATCGAGTAGATCGTTGTGATATATTTGGAATCTTTAAACCAATTCCAAGTGAATGAGAAATTACGGTCTAAAGTTGGAAGAAAAGAGAAGAAGACTAGAAATTTGTCCAACTTCATCGCTCGCCTTGTGCTTGAGCGACATGCGAGCGACATAGTCTCTATTTCTGATGCTTGAATGATTCAATGGCAACAGGCTAGCAATAGCAAAATCTACGACCCTTGACAAATGTTGCTGAGTTTGGTGTGCGACACTTCACTCACAGTCTTTCCTCCTCTATAAATTAGATCATTTTCTGACGCTAGTACGACTGACTAGCGATAACAAAAGCTGCGACCATTGGCAAAGGTTGCTGAGTTTGGGTCGCAGCACTTCTCTCACTACCTTTCCTCCTCTATAAATTAGATCATTGAGACGTCCATTTGTTCGTCCCAATGATATGCAATCATAGCATAACATTAAATTCATCTTTTCATAACCAAAATTATGTATAAAAAGTTGTTTTTTCATTTTCATTTGAAGGAGTACAAAAATAAATTTTCGATTCGTTATTCTTGTATTTTGAAGTGCTACCAACACAAGAAGTTTGTTCGTTATATTTTGAGAGTCGATTGTCATCATTTGTGGCCATCGTTGCGGAGCAAATTCGATTTAAGAATAAAGAGTTCAACTCTTTTCTCGACTTTGCATACATTTCTTTTGGTATTGCTTTAATATTATTTTTCTTTGCTGTTTTCACTCATATCCTTATTGTTACTCTGTCCAATTTTTGGTAAGGTTGGTAAGCCCCTGTTTGGTACACATTAAAATTTTCATTTTCATTTTTCTACTTATTTTCAATCACACATTTTTCAATAAAATAATAGTTTTCATCACATCAATAATTCTTCTTTCTTTTTCAACCTCAAATTCTCCATCAATCTACTATTCAAAAATACATTCTTGCAAAATAATGTGGCTCAAACACACCCTAAGTTGATTTTTATTTATTTTTGTTTAAAGTCATCACTCGAATCCATTATATTGACCAACATAATAATCACCCGAAGGGTAGGTACTTTGTCTACTAACGCCACAAACATCCCTTCCACCACAAGCTCTCCCCTTCGTACCTTGGTTTTCATTATGATCGGCGTGTCATACCTCCAATTCTTGTGTCAACTAGTGGATGCATTGACCCATCCATGCAATCTCATCTTTTTGGTATGCTTATTCCACATGAACATTGCAACCACCATTCATTCGAGGATCCATTTCCTCAGGAACATAATCGATGCTCTAATAACACTTTGGTGCAGCGATAATAAATCCAACTGAATCTAAGACATTAAAGAAGAATATATACCTCTTGATTTCACATATAAAACTTATAAATAAAGACCACGATTAAGGGAGGGCACTTTTTTCTTGAAATCGGTGAAATCGGACCAATACCAGACAGGATTGGTTGGTTCCACTCTTCCTTTACTAAATGTGTCAATTTGGAACTATACATCGAGAAGCAATCGACTCCAGTTCAATTCTCAACAACGCCTTGAGAGAAAATAGTGAATGTGATTATTTTGAATTTCTCTTTTTGCTAGTGCATTGAACCAAGATGCACCAAATTTTTGAATACTAAATCTTAAAATTATCCAACTCTAGAATTTCACTTTCCATATGCTTCTTGTTTCTTTTGCAACAAAACCTAATGAGTAATCAAAATCAAAATCAAAATCTAAATAATTTTATAAATACTTTATAAATTCATAGCTTTAATGCAACTCTAATAGAAAATATATATTTTTAACTCATTTTTCCATAAGAACTCAAATTTCTTACGAATACATATTAATGTATGAATTTCCTTAAAAATTAATATTCGATCCAGATTTACCATTTGTGTTGTGTTTAATACTTTATATTTTTTTGTCTTTATGAGTTGATCTTTAGTTATTGAGTGAATTTTTGCTAGTTGTTTTGTTTATTTATTTATTTATTTTTTTTGTTAGGTTACAAGAATGACGATTGGTTTCATACTCTATTTTCGCCTATTTTCAATTTGACAAGTAGTTTCATGCTTTATTGCTATAATTTTTCAATATAAAGAATCGGATTGGACCGATTGATTTTGTTTTGGTTCAGTTATATAGTTGAATATGAAACCTAATTTCATGCTATTATTACAATATCTTGAAAAAATCTTAAATGGGAATCCTTGATCAATGAAAGTAAGTAGAAAACAATCTTATCAAATCTCAAAACGATATTCGCTCATAAATTTCGCAAAACGTCATTTTCTCTCTCACAGAATCATTTGGAAGACCGCTTTCATATAAAATGAACAAAAAGATTATCAGGAACTCTGAACAACATTCAGGTGTAGATATCACTTCTAGAATCCAAAACAACGCACATCAAGTGTCATACTACATTAACAGTAACAATCACAAAGGTTTTAGAATTTATTTCATTCGTATGGGAACTAAAGGTCAATAAATGTATTTACGAAATACAATGTTGCCGTTTCCAGTTTCCACTTTGTCAATAAACGACTTTAATGTCACTTTTTCGTTCGACATTTGAAGTCAACATCTTAAGAACTAAATTCAACTTATTTGATTCCTCTCCAAATCTTCAGCATATAAGAGCAGAATTTCAAAATTTGATATGAAATATTCAAGAGAAAGCGCACTCTCATGGAAGAATGCATTAATATTAACGTGCATTCACCTGTGCGTCCATAATAAGATACTCCCTTCATCATATAAAGATGGACTTACTTTCATTTTCGCACAAATTAAAAAAATGTAATTAATATAATTGAAAATATAAATTTTACTTACCTTTTTTTCTAATACACCCCTACATTAATTAATAGTTTAAATAGTAGTACTTTGGTTGATAATAAGACGCATTAAATAGATGTATATTAGAAAATTTAAAAATTAATTATACTCTCAACAAGAAAATATATAATTTTTCAATTCGTAAATCGTTATAGAGAATATAAAAGAAGATATAATTTACAGATCTTTTTTTAATAACAAATGATAAAATAGTATGAAATATACCATTACGAAATTAGGAGATTATATCCCTCCATCACGGAAAAAAAGTAAACAAAAATCGAACTTCGACCCTATATTTCAAATTTTGAAGCACGATATATAAATAAAAAAACTTCAAATAAACTGCATAGACGAAAAATAAATAAATTCAGACCTTGTCCATTGTTTGGAAAACAATTCATAATTCTTAAAATCCAATTCGTTCTTGACTTTAAGTTTTTCAACTTTCATTATTGAACTGTTTTAGAGTGTGTTTGATAGATATTATCGAAGAAAAAATGTATTTTAAATAGCATTATGATGAGAAATATGTTGTTAAAAAGTAAGGAAAAGTTATTGATATGGTGAAAAATATTATTTTATTGAAAAATGTGTAATTGAAAATGAATTTTGAAAGAATGTATACCAAACAGAGACTTAATTATTGTGGGAAATAAATTAGTATATTAAAGATGTCCACTCAGAAAATCTTATCTCAATAAATCTAGTTAATGATACAACTCATGTGAGTATAATTTATAAAGACAAATTATTGAAGGCCTTGTCACATTTAATCATGTCTATATTTGACAAATTTTATTGCAATTTACACATTTATTGACTCTATGTGTGAAAGCTTTATTACAAATTTTCAAGTAGTTAATTGCATTGCATGTAATAAATATTAGTAGAGGATAAGAATTGAATTAATATTTAATTGAGCGAATTTACTACACCGGTTACTTTTGTTGTATTGTCACATAGTGCAACAACTTATTGGTGAATTAAAATTAATATAAGGCAAATTACATTTACATCGTACTGACTTTTTTGGTGAAATTTATGTTGATTCAAACCATTTTGTCTCTTTGTCAACCAAAATCCAAGTAGTGACAAAATTAGTTCAAGAGAATACTGCTCATCGTAAACACCTATTAATGAGGAGATTATCAATTAATAACCTACTCATTTTAAGAGGAAAATGGTTATAAAAATAGAATTTAGACCTCGAATTTTCTTATTTCCAAGAAATATCTTTTTTTTTTTATTTGAAATAATTCAGAAACCCAATAAACAAATTAAAACGATAGATTTGAATATATGAATGACATTTAGAATATTAAAAGGAGTTAAATCCTGATTAAAGTAAATGTCAAGATTTTGTCAATAGAATTTGATGTATGGAATCCATGGAAAATTAAGTGCCAAAGCCCCCTCCCCACCCCACCACACGCCCCGCCAGGCACAATTTTTTCCTGATGCATGATAAATTCTCAGTAATCAGTAAAAAAAAATAAAAACCTGCAGACTTAGCCCATTGTTTTGCTTAAATACCTCTCTTACATTATCGGTAGCATATAAATAGGGACTGAAGCAAGTTCTTAGGTTGTTACCTTCAGTACCATTTTAAACTATTGTGGCACTATATTGTCCTTCAGCCATCTCTCTTCCACCAGTTAACTTATTCACTTACTTTCTCTATCTAAACAAATTTTTCAGTGCCATTTTTTCTTGTCATCAACCAAATAGGGTCTTTGGTTAACATTATTATTTATCAAGAAGAAAGATTTTTAACTCTTGAAATCAATACTCGTTCTTTGAAGTTATTCTTTTTTTTTCCCTTCATTTTTCTTGGTGGTGGTGGAGCGAAGAGTTGGTTTTTTCATCATGGATGACTGGGATGCTCAAAAAATGTGAGTTCATACATGTCTTCTATGCCATTTTTTCTCTTAAGAAATTCTTGAATTTCTCGAGAGTTTGTTTTTTTCATGATGAAGTTCTTGAATTGCTTGATTGTTTATTCTTGAGGAAATTCTTGAATTTCTGGATAGTTTGTTTATTTTTTCTTGAGGAAATTCTTGAATTCCTTGATAGTTTGTTTACATTTTCTTGAATGTCTAGAGGATTTTTTTATTTATTCTTGAATTTCCTCTTCAAGAAACGTATTAATTCCTCGGCTTATTCTTATATATTTTGATTTTGCGTTTGCAGGCTTGACGTGTATATTCACGATTACATGGTCACAAACAACATGCACACAGTTGCTGATATTTTCGCTAGAGAGGCTGAAGTTATTCCAAATGCTGATGGTATAAACTCTATTGGCCAGCTTTTCTACACTCATATAATTTAATTAAAACTTGTTTTGTCACTCCAAAAAAATTATTTTGCTCTTTTGATTTGAGTAATTTTTTCGGGTAAGATTTCGGGCTTTTATGGCTTATTTTATTGTGATTGGAGCCACTAAATCATTGTCAATTTCAGGAGGGAAAAAGTCGATTTCAAAGCATGGGATTTACGCCAAATTTTCTCATCAGTTGGGAACTATTGATGTATCTTTGTTGCATTGAATGTCATATAATTACGATGCGTTATTTATCACTTTATTAATAGAATAAGTTAGGTCTATTTTCGTATGCACGACCGTTTAAATAATAACGGGTTGAAACACTAAGAAGTCGCCCTACCATAGTTTCAAATCATGTTTTTTGTTTATTCTATCAATGCATTGAATGGTTTTATTTGCTCTTTTTTTTCTCAGCAATCGATCCTCCAAAAGAATTTTTAACAGACTGGTGGTCCTTATTTTGGGACGTATATTGTGCTAGAACTGGAACTGCAAGGCATCCTGAGACCCTAGGAGCATCCTCATCTAAGGTGTCATCGATCATGCATTTCTTTTAAGTCGTATCACATTTTTAGACAAGAAACTGTGCGTTCAAGGTTTGTCTCCTTTAAATGTTAGGATATTCAGACAACACAAAATGTGCCAACAAATTTCAATCCTACAATTTCAAGGCCGGATTTGAGTCATATGCTGCAGGACGATTTTAATGGTAATTTGTTCTCATTAACTTCATGTCTTCATCAAAGTGGAAGTGAAACCTTTTCTTGTTGATAGTTGCCTTTCGAATTTATATCATTCCTCTGGTTCCAATAGCTTCTTGTAGTTGATTTTAGTTATCTTTCATTTCAGAAAGAAACGAAGTAAAACAAATTCCATCGCAAGGATATTTGCCTTCAACTGTAAGTGCAAGCAAGTTTCACATATTAAGAAATTTCAGGGGTAGCTGCACACTTATTTGTTTTCTCAAAGCTTTTCATTTTTAACTTAAATAGTCTTTTCATTTTATTGTTCTCAAATCATCGGCAGCACTTTGCAACTACTGAAGCCCTTCTCCAACAAGATTTTACGCCCAATTTGGCAGTACAAACATCAGGAAAACTGGAATTGTCAGCCTCTAGAAATTCAACCAATGCGGGCAATCCTATCCTCATTGATGACAGTTTAAATTGCAAAAAATTACAAGTAAGAAGAAGCAATGACTGTGTGATTTCTAGATAGTCATATATACTGATAATCGGGGTGGTCTCTCAAAACTTTTTAGAGGGTAGTTTAAGGTTGGATGTCGGATGATATAAGCATTTGTTTTTTTATTTCCCTTTTCTCTATCTTGTTATTAATGTATCCATGATAGTGCAGTGGTGATTTTTTTTTTTCCAGGCACAGAAATGCCCAATGTGTTACATATGGAAGCATTTCTATATTTTCGTAACACCATAACATTTTTATTTTCTTTGCAATGTGATTGTGTTATAGCATATGATCTTTTATAGCTGTTTATAACCATATAAATTAGGTTGTCCTTTGTAATACTTAGAAAACAATTTTTATAGTTGCTTGCATTGTTTTTGTCTCATTACATTTGATTCACATATCTTAATATGGTATCAGAGTCTCTTGGCTTGGCATAGGATCTTACATTCGTCTTTCTAACTCTTTTGTACCCTGATATTGTATCTGGGACTCGATGTCTTTCCATGGTGGTGGCGCTGCCACCTTCATCCCATTTGTTTCAAGTTAACACTGCACAAATTGGCAAAGTTTGGCCACAATCATTGTCTCTCATTTATCTCTCGGTTATTCACCTTCTATATATTCAAGTCCCTCATGTTTTCTAAATATTTTACATCTTTTATCATTCAGTTTACAAACTTATTCTTAATATCATAATATCTTCTAGATTATGTTATTTCCAATATGATTGGATTATAGTTTAGGATCTTTCCTTTTATAGCTGTTTATAACCCTACAAATAGGGTTGTTCTCTTGAAATTATTAGACCAAAACATTATACAATTACTCATATTATGTTCAATAGTTGTATCTCAACTACCTTTAGTTCATAGTTCTCAACAAGACAGATATTTATAAGCTCAACCAGCATTTATTCATTCAAATTTCAAATTTGTTAAAGAGTGTAATTTTAGTAGAAAGAAATACTTTTTCAATTACTTGATTTGATTTTAACATTTCAAAATTGCATGGAGTTGTATATAAAAGTTCTTCAAGTTTGTATCAACAGATTAGGGTCTCTTCTGGATTACATATTATCATGATGCAGACATTTCCATTATAATTATATGCTTTTGTGTCTTACTTCATCTTCTTTTTTTCTTTGAGAGTGGAAATAATGTAGTGGAAGAAGAACCGTTGGATGTTGACAGCTTTTTCAATGATAATCCAGATGACACGGGCACTTTGCCACATAGTCCTCCAGCACCTGAGAAAAATGATCAGAAAGGCAAAAATGAACAGAAAGGCAAGTTTTACAGTTTAATTTCATATTTAAGTTATTCGAAATCTTGGAAAGTATTTTTAATTATCAGAATGGATATATTGAATGATGATGAATAAAAGGGACAATGTTTGTTATTTCGTTTCTTTTCCTCCTCCTTCATGTACGCAGCCAATTAAGATCTTCGGTGAACACTTGAACTAGAAAAAGACTCAAAGGGTCATCTCGTTGATCTAGTTTCCTACTATTTTTATTGAATACTGAAATGCTATATATATATATACATAAAAGGATAAGGGAAACGATGTACACAAGCCAATTAAATATCTTGAAGAATTGCATTGACAAAATATTACCCTTTATTTGCATATAAGATGTCTATCCTTGAAACCCTGATTAATGAAATGAATAGTTACTAGCTGCTTTTTGAATAATATTTTTCCAGTTTATTAGAGCATAAATTTTCATTGTCAGAGCCATTCCAGACATTAGTATTTTGTTCAATGAATCACAAAGACCATAGAAAATACAGAGGTTCAGAGACAAGTTTTTTTTTGTCTGAACTCCTAGGGTCGGTTTTCCTCTGTGCCTCTTGAGGGTTGGGGTATTGAGATTACCAATAATTCTAGAAGTACACATTATAAATATAGATGATAGAAAAATCTGGGAAATTTTTTGTCAGTCACAGTGGCAAGTGCGGTACAAATTCCATGGTAGCCAACATGACGATGCACATGGACAATTTCATCAGGCTACTTGGGTTACGTTGATTGAAAGATCATGATTTTTCGATATTACAGGCCTCTCTTTTGAAGAAGTTGAAAGCTTCCAAACTAAAACCAAGCTTAGATGTTGCCATTTTTCAACATCGGGAAAGTTACTAGCTGCTGCGGGGCATGATAGCAAGGTTTATACAGTGCTACTCAAATCATTTTTCTTTCTGAATTTATGTTGAAGATTTACATTTTGCAAACAAAGGTTTTGTTAAATAATAATCTCACGAGCTAATGAATCTTGCATCATATTGTAATAGGTACTGATTTGGAATCTGGAATCTCGTTCATCGAAAATTATAAAAGCACGTTCGCATATCATTTCAGACATCCGTTTCAAGCCAAATTCAACTGTTTTTGCAACATCTTCATTTGACAAAAACGTGCAAGTATGGGATGCTGTCAAGGTGCTAAAGCTTTTCCGATTCTTTTTTCCTGTCCATTGTCTAATGCCTGTTGCCATTTCTAGGTTTTTTCCTATTATACTTTGTCAGCCAGCCCTACCATCCACGTGATTTTGCATAAAATATTTACTTCAAATTTGGTAGATCTTGGTTTTGGTCAAGTATATTCTAAAAAAGTAATGCTACTTGCAGTCGCTCACTGCAGCAGTCGCCCTATGTGGCATACACATGGCATGTAGTTATTTGATACATTAATGTGGTAGTTTTTTACCACATTTAATGCATTAAATACACACTTGACATGTGTGTGCCACATAGGGCGACTGCTGCAGTGAGCGACTGCAAGTAACGTTATTCATTCTAAAAACATTTACGTTTTATCCTTGCAAATATTTATGCAAATAGCTTTGAGGTGTAGTGTGTCACTGTGTCTAAACTCGTTGCCTTAAATATTACAAAGAATATTGATCGACATGGTCTAAAAACATAAAATAGATCAAATGGCATATTACTATTCTGAATGAAAAGCTTACACCTTTCATGACTGGTGTTTTAGCCGGCAAAATCAAATTCTATGCTCGTCGGGCATGCTAAACCTGTGATGTCATTGGATTTCCACCCAGCAAAGGTCAATATCCTCTGCTCTTGTGACGGAAATGATGAGATTCGATTGTGGAATGTCAATGAATCTGCTTGCATTCTCGCCTTTAAGGTCAGTTATGTAGTTTTGTGGACGAGCACTTGTGTCTATTTTGCCCATTCACTATCATGGTTAATTTACTCCGATAATAATTGTCTTCCTGTTGGGCGACAGTACAGTTATTTGCTGGTATGAATTTCGTTTATATGTTGATAAATGGTTTTAAGAGTTATTTTGCTTTCCATTTATAATTTCTTGAGTTTTCACACATGGCAAAGATTCAAGATGTGAATTTGAGTGCAAATAAGTATAGTGTTTATTACATATATGTAAGTAACTTTGGAAGAAATAATAACTGCTGAAGACAAGTTATCTGAATTCCCGTTATTCTTTAAGATGACTCTTACTTCTGATTTTTTCCACGGTGCAACTGTAGGGAGCAAATAGACAAGTTAGATTCCAACCTCGATCTGGGAGCCTTTTGGCTGCTGCAACAGGAAATGTTATCAATATGATTGATGTTGAGACTAGCACTGTCAAGTACCGGCTAGAGGTACGCTGTAATTTGGTGAATCAATCCAAGTGCGAATTTGTAATAAAGTATTGGATTCGACAAACAAGATTTTAGCTTCTTTCACTTTCTTAATACTGTCATATGCTATCTAATCCTCCTTACCAGGATGTTTTGTGTCATTCTTGTCCCTGCATGCATTAAATTAGATATGATATAAATTTACTCCTTTAATTTCTAGGGACATGCCGAAGATATTTGCTCGATGTGTTGGGATACCAGTGGCAGATTCATGGCTTCTGTCAGTGAAGATTGTGCACGCATATGGTCAATTGCAGCAGGTGGAAAGTCCGTTCATCAGTTGCAGTCCACTGAAAATAAATTTATGTCCTGTACATTCCATCCCGTCTATTCACTAGTCCTAGCTATTGGTTCTTACCAGGTAAAAAATATTTCCTTTTACAGTATTCTAATTGTTTTGGGTTTTTAAACCTCAACTCTTCTGAAGTCAAGATTGATCAAATAGACTTTCTATCTTGTACTACGATGTGGTACGTATATTTTCTGTATTAAACTTCATCAAACATCATCATTTTGAATTTAGTACATCGAGTTTACTTGTTTGAGTGCTTTGCAGTCACTTCAAATCTGGAATCCAATGGATGGCGGCAAAATTTGGAGCCATCGCGCGCATGAGGGTATAGTTTCTGCGTTGACAAATACGTATGGGACTCACAGGATTGCCTCAGTGAGCCATGATTCGTGGATGAAGGTCTGGAAATAGAAATTAATGTTTACTCATGATTCAGACACAGTTTCTACACATGCTTTTCTAGTCCTACAGTGGTTGTAAAACTCAATTCCAACATTCCTTAATCAGCATAAGATTGCTTATAAGTTATAATTCTCAAATCTGGAGCATTCCTTTTTGTTCATCTATGAACATGAATTTTATGTTGTTTACGTTGTTAATGCTTGAATGGCTTGTCTTGCACAATTAAATATCTAGAGTTTTACATGTTTGAAGTTGGATAATACTGTAATCATTTGTTGAATAGTTGAAATTCTGTGAACTATTAGGGAAGAAAATCAGTTCAATGTGATTGTTTGGAAGTGGTTTTCTATCAAAGTTTTGTTGCATCCTTTTTTGTAACATTTAATTTGTAAATTTTATTTAAATATTTCCTTTTTTTGGACTCAATATGGAAACATTTTTTAAAAGATTATATTTCTATTTGCTATAGAGTAAAATGACAACATAAACAAATCATGTAATGTATAATTGATGTTGCGCAACTTCTTACTCATATTGGACTAAGAATTTTGATTATGGATTATAAAATTAATGTTCTAGATCAATTTCGTGGATCATACATATAAATGGATCCTCGATAAATTAATAATAGATTATTATGCAATATGAAAACCAGAAAAGGACTAATTTGCACTCTTAGTTATTGCCCTTTTTCAAATTTTCTTACTTCAACAATGCTCCGACTAGATTAAATTCGTGACGCCATCTTGGTTTAATGAATAGCCATCCAAATTCAAATTTATTAATGTAGAGATTTGAAACGGTCCCTCCATAACCAGTCATTCATAATATCAAATAAATCATTTTCGTCTTTGGTAAATTTACCAAGGACTATAGATATAGTATTTCAATAGCGTTTTGTTCGGTACAAGTGCTCTAAGCATGAGTTGTGTGAATATTATTTCAAGGACTTAATTGTACTTCTTAATATTCAAGGACTCAATTGTTCTTCTTTACATATTTTAGGTCCTTCTTAGAAATAAGTTTTTTAGTTTGTTTTTAGTTCGTTTTAGTTTGTTTGTTTTCCCTCTTTTTCCCTGGGTCCATATATATCCCTCTCCATTGCTGTACCCATTTGGTGAGTGATTAAATGAAATAAACTTGTTGTTTTCGATCACTCAATCATGGTATCAGAGCAGTGGACTCTGGATTTCCAGACCTAAAGCTGATTATTCGTAAGAAGAAAGAGGAAGATAAGCTCAATACTGAGCTGCAATGGCGGGGAATCAGAATGTGGATCTATTTCCCACTGAGCTAAGGAACGATCAGACGATTCAAGGAATTGGTAGGCAAAATGAACTAAATACTTCAGATCCGCTATTTCTTCATAGTTCAGATCACCCAGGAATGATGTTAGTTACGGCACCTTTGACTTGTAAAAATTTCTTAGCATGGAGCAGATCTATTAAAATCGCCCTAGGAGCAAAGATGAAGTTAGGGCTTATTGATGGGAGTGTTGAAATACCGGAGAAAAATTCGCCAAACTATGACAAATGGTTGAGAGTTAATTACATGATTACTTCGTGGTTATTGAATTCTATCTCCAAGGAAATTGTCGAAGCATTTCTATACACAAGCACTGCTAGAGAGCTATGGATGGAGATTGAAGAGAGGTTTGGAACCTGTAATGGACCTATGCTTTACCAGATCCAGCGAGAAATCAGTTCCATCTCACAAGGTAATCTCTCCATTACAGAATATTACACCAAATTGAAGCGATTATGGGATGAATTGACGTTCCTTATGCCTATACCAGAGTGTACTTGTGATTCAGCTAAATCAGTATCTGAAATAACCTCTTTCACTCGACTTATGCAATTCCTCATGGGTTTGAATGATGAGTTTGAGCACACACGAAGCCAAATCCTGGTTATGGATCCTCTGCCATCAGTTAATAAAGCTTACTCTATGATCCAGAGAGTGGAAAAACAGAAAGAAGTTCAGATATCCTATGGAGAAACCAATGAAGCAAGTGCTATGAGTGTTAAGACTCAGGGATATAGGAAGGTTGCAGGAGGTAGAGGTTATGGCAGGAGGTTTGATATGAGCAAGGAGGAAAAGAGGAATCAGATTTGCACACATTGCAACACCTCAGGACATAGTAGAGATTTTTGTTTTAAATTGATTGGATACCCAGACTGGTTCAAACAACTTAATGACCAGAAGAAGAAAGCAGGAGGAAAATTCTCTGTGTACATGGCAGATTCACCACTGGAAATTGGAAATGAAGTAAATACTGGAGGTATTGAAGGTCCATACAAGAACTTAAATATTTCAGATATGATCAAGCAGGAACTTCGAAAAATGGTGAATGAAAAAGGAGCTGGCTCTGGAAGTAACGTGAATTTCGCACATATAGATGATTTCGCAGGTTCCACCCTTAAACTTGATTTTTCCTCTGCTCTAAGTGCTTCCAGCCAAATAGGATTTGATTCATGGATTATAGATACAGGAGCTTCTAACCATATGTGCAATGACATTTCATCACTTAAAAAACCTATACCTACAACTAAAATCATTCCTGTATATCTACCTGATGGCACCATGAATTTTGTTAAGCATTTTGGTGATGTTCATTTACATGAAAACCTCAGCCTCACAGATACTCTACATGTTCCCACTTTCAAGTTTAATCTATTATCAGTTAGTAGATTAACAAAAGCCTTAAACCTGAAATTTATTTTCATGAAGGATCATTGCCTTTTGCAGGACCTTTTGACTGAGAAGATACTAGCCGTAGGGAGGTTGATAAAGAACCTGTACATTCTTGATCAAACCTCATTCTATAACTCTACTATAGAGTCTTTCATTTCTACTGATTGTAAACCTTTTCTTTCCAATAATTCCTCTCTTGTTGCCATGAATAAAACCACAGATCATTCAGTTATTCTTTGGCACATGAGGCTTGGTCATGTTTCAGGCAGTGTTATGCAACATATGAAAATGATGAATTCTATTGACAAAAATATCATTACACCTTGTGATATCTGTTCCTTTTCCAAACAGCACAGATTGCCTTTCCCTGATTGCGAAATTAAAACATCTGACCTCTTTGAAATTTTACATGTCGACTTATGGGGACCATATAAACATAGGACTATCTATGGGGCACATTATTTTTTGACTGTGGTCGATGACTTTAGTAGATGCACTTGGACTTTCTTGATCAAACACAAATCACAGGTTCTCAGCACTTTGCAGAATTTGCACAAAACTGTTAAAACTCAGTTTGAAAAAAACATAAAATGCCTGAGAACCGATAATGGAACTGAGTTTACTAATTTTGCATTACAAAATTTTTTGGCTGAAAATGGTATTTTTCATCAGAAAAGTTGTCCCTACACGCCTCAACAAAACGGAGTTGTTGAGAGAAAGCATAAGCATTTGTTGCAAATAGCTAGGGCTCTGATGTTTCAATCCAATTTACCAAAAATGTTTTGGGGAGATTCAGTTTTAATGGCAACTCACATCATCAACAAATTACCTACTGCTTTGCTGAATTGGAAAACACCTTATGAACTTTTACACAAGAAACTGCCCACGTATCATGATCTGAGAGTTTTTGGTAGTTTGTGTTATGCTACTAACACAAAACCATTCAAAGAAAAGTTTGCCCCAAGAAGTTTTAAGTGCATTATGCTTGGTTACAGCTCTGGTCAAAAGGGATTTAAACTCTTTGATCTCATCAATAAACAGGTTTTTGTCTCTCGGGATGTTGTTTTTCATGAACATGTTTTTCCTTATAAAAAGGATCATGAGTCCAGTCCTTCTATACCTCTCCCAGTGTCTGATATATCTTCTGCAGATGATCCATCTGTTTTCACTCATTCTGACTGTCATAATGAAGTTCAAACACCTTCTATTCAATCCCCTGTTGTTCACCAACCTATGGCTACTAATAATCTCAGTCAAGAACAGGTCAATCACCATAATGATCCTTTAGCTTCCACTTCGGATCAACTGATTCACAACCAAGTTATCTCTCAACCTAGGAAAAGTACTAGGAAAAAAACTACTCCTACTTGGTTGCAGGATTTTGTGAGTAACCTTACCTCCTCTACTTCAATATCTGATCTTTTACCAGACCTTTTCAAGTCCTCTTCATATACACCGAATACATATCCTTTCCATCACTCTCCTAATTTTGCCCCTAGCTATTGCCATTTTCTGGCTAATGTTTCTACAATCCAAGAACCAAAATCTTACAAGGAAGCTAGCACTAAGGCAGAGTGGATTCAAGCTATGGACACTGAACTTGCAGCTTTGGAAAAGAACCAGACTTGGGAAGTTGTTCCCCTACCTCAAGGGAAGATTCCAATTGGTTCCAAGTGGGTTTATAAAGCTAAATTGAAGCCAGATGGAAGTCTAGACAGGTGCAAAGCCAGGCTAGTGGCAAAGGGGTACAAACAAGTGGCTGGCATTGATTGTGTTGATAGTTTCTCACCAGTGGCAAAATTATTGAGTTTGTTGATTGTCTCTCACCAGTGGCAAAATCTGAAACAATCAGAATTTTTTTTGCAATTTCATCTGCACACCTTTGGCCTATATACCAATTGGATATAAACAATGCGTTTTTACATGGTTTTATTGATGAGGACATTTATTTGAGGCCTCCAGAAGGTTACAAGCCACTGAAGGAGGGCTTTGTATGTAAGCTTAAGAGGTCCCTCTATGGCTTGAAGCAAGCTAGTAGGCAATGGAATTCAGAGTTTTGCAAACATTTACTGGGTTTTGGCTTCACCCAATCCGCACATGATCATTGCTTGTTCATCCTCCATTCAGGTAGTTCTACCACCATCCTTATCGTTTATGTCGATGACGTGCTGATCACTAGCACGAATGATGAAGAGTTGCAGAGGGTAAAGACATTTCTGGACACAACTTTCACTATAAAAGATTTGGGTGTTGCAAAATACTTCTTGGGGATTGAAATAGCACGCTGTCCGGAGGGTTTATATCTTAACCAACGGAAGTATGCTATTGACATTATTTCTGATGCTGGTTTGCTTGGTTCCAAACCTGTGGATATTCCTCTTCAGAAGGGTCTTAAATTCACTGCTGAGGGTGTTTTATATTCTCAGCCTAATCAGTATAGAAGGCTTGTAGGTCGCCTCCTTTATCTCAATCTCACTAGACCGGATTTGTCTTATGCTGTTCAGCAACTTAGCCAATTTGTTAATTCGCCTACCGTCACGCACTGGGAAGCTGCCTTACACTTACTGAAATACATCAAAGGCACTTTGTCAAAGGGTCTTTTTTTTCCTTCTTCCAGCACTTTCAAGCTGGTTGCTTATTGTGATGCCGACTAGGCCTCTTGCTCCGATTCCCGGAAATCCTTGACTGGTTATTGCATTTTTTTGGGAGGTTCTCTTATTTCCTGGAAAACGAAGAAGCAGCAAACTGTCTCCCGAAGTTCTGCTGAGGCAGAGTATCGTAGTATGGCGGCCACTGTATGCGAGCTCCAGTGGATTACTTACCTTCTCCAGGATTTATGTCTTGCTTCACCTCTTCCGATTCCTTTATGGTGTGATAATCAGGCTGCTATCCATATTAGTGCTAATCCGGTGTTTCATGAACGGACGAAGCATTTGGAAATCGATTGTCACGTGGTTCGTAATCAGTTCAAAGCTGGTTTTATTCTTCCTCAACACATCTCTTCTCGGGATCAAGCAGCGGACATCTTTACTAAGTCGCTTCCATCACCTCAATTCCAGTTTTTGGTGTCCAAGTTGGGTTTGATGGATTTTCATCAATCTCCAACTTGAGGGGGGGATGTGAATATTATTTCAAGGACTTAATTGTACTTCTTAATATTCAAGGACTCAATTGTTCTTCTTTACATATTTTAGGTCCTTCTTAGAAATAAGTTTTTTAGTTTGTTTTTAGTTCGTTTTAGTTTGTTTGTTTTCCCTCTTTTTCCCTGGGTCCATATATATCCCTCTCCATTGCTGTACCCATTTGGTGAGTGATTAAATGAAATAAACTCGTTGTTTTCGATCACTCGATCAAGTTGACTCATTATTCTAATTGTTTCAGCTGGGACGCTTATCTAAGCTGTTAGATAAGTGTGAATGATTTTGTGTTAAGGTATTCAAATCATCGTAGAATTTTATTTATGACACGTAATCTTTACGAGGTAAATTGTGAACACTACAATATTTAATACAATGGTCCTATGGATACTGTATAAAAATCTCATACTCACAACATGTTAATTCTACGTTCGATATAACCGAACATTACTCAATGTGCTGTCTTCTTCTGGTCATGAGCGACGTCGCACCAACGTTAGAACATTGTCATCGATTAATATTAAAGATAAACTAACAATAAGAATGAACAATATTTCAGTGAGGAGGTCATACTGGTTTTAATAAGAAACTATTTCCATCGATGAACTGTAACTTTTATAAAACACCATCGTGAAATGATATCACTGCTAGTTAATAATCCAGATAAAAGAATCAATAAATAGTTAACCTCTTCCCATATTCACAATTACATGTCTGCTCTATAGTCTTGCTTTAGGCTTCAACAGATCATAATTAAGGGGATGAAAAGCTCATGATAATGAGACTTTTGGGGACTTGAAATAATTTCTCAGTGTCTCTTTACCTCTTTCTCAGCCTGCAAGCACAAATTAGAGTCAGTATGTGATTAATACATGTATGCCTAGCTCTGTCTGTCTGTCTGTCTGTGGGGGTGGGGTGGGGGGTGTTCCTCGACTAGCTTCTTACCGCTTTGACAACTCGATCGAAGGCATCAGGGCCATATTTCTCGATGTATTTCTCGACTGATTTCCTGGCATCCAGGCTCATCGTCTGAAGTACTCTTCTCTGACCTTCAGGATAATTTTGGCTCACAGGGCTTACAACTTTGACATATTGTCTCACATAGTTCTCATAAATGTAAGCAGCTCCATTGAAAACTGGTAACACCAGCCATGTACAGAATACTAGCTTGATGTATGGCCAGAATGGGAACCTATTGGAATTTTGTATAATCAACTTCATTCTTAAATATGAATTTGTTGAAGATGAAAATATAAATAAATTAACTTTTTTCTGTCCTAAGAGATTAAGATTTTAGATGAGATAGTGAATTTGTCTTATTAGACGGTTTTCAGAGTCAACTGACCCGATTCCAGACGAGGTTCCCAGTTTTACCATTTGAACTAGCCGGGCGAGGCTGGTTCCAATGCCCCACTGGTTCTCACAATATTGATATAAACATAGAATTCAGAAATTACCATTGAAGGACTTTCCAACAAGAAAGCTCAAAAATGGTTGTCAATGAGTATATAATCCAATATGTTAACCACTGCTGATCATCCAGTGTTGAAGGACTCTCAATTGCTCTCATTGATGCATATCTGTTCATTCAATCATTAAATACATAACTTTTCTCCACTAATGTTAATATCTAAATTAGAAGGAATGTATTAGGATAAAATATTTAAATATTTTGAACTTACAGAGGATAAATAAGCGTCACTCCAGGTCTGAATGCACCCCCAACAAGAAAAATAACAAATAATTAGTTATAAAAATAATATTGTTGAGTTCATGTAACTTTTTACCAGAAATAAGAAACCAAAATCATTAAAAAGAAAAACATTTGAAACCGTTGATTGAAAGTACCCAACGACAGCATCCAAAAGACTTGCAGTGGCTCCAAGCAAACCCATCTTGATATAACACTTTTCTTAGCCAAAAAAAGAAATATTTCCTTTTTTGTCTCCGGTATTTCGAAGTTACAGAAGTATTGAAAGTGATTGTTTAGGGTTTATATATATAGTTTCTGAGGTTTTCCATTGAATGCAATATGAAGTAAAGAATTTCTTTTGTGACAAGATGAAGTTTTATTTCCTTGGACAAGAAGAAAAAGCAAGTACGAGAATGAGACGGCAAGTAAGAGGCAAACCAGCTTAGTTTTCTTTCTTATACCTTTCTTTCTAAGTGGTGTTGTGATTATTGATAAGATATTAAGGCATTGCAATTAATAATCAGACTTCACACTCCATGCGTGCATTCTTACCTTTCAATTATTTAAATTAATGGAAAAGGGGCGGGCCAAACCACGACAAAATCGGTATATCTCCAAAGAAGATTTTAAGTTCAAATTTTTTTTTCCCTCTCCACTCAATGAAGTATGATTTAAGTTAGGCAATTAGGCTTTGGGTCTCTAGCATTAGCAGCCACAACAAACACGGAGATTGGTTTTCGAATTTATAAAAATTGTGTAGGTTTTCTTCATTTCTTTCATTCAAATCAATATTTTGCGGAATCAACGATTCGTGATCGCGAATTCTTCTTGTTTGTTTATATGATCTATCTACCTCACTAAACTAGATAGCGCAATAAATAAGGAATTTAACTCAAAATAAAGTAACAAATATTTCGAGAAAAGGGCTTTCTAGTACATAACTTGTTTCCACGGGTCCTGATGAGAGATTTCAGGCTATAATAGCACCACAATATATAGAAGAGAACAAAATCAGATTAAAAAATATTCAGAAAATGCAAAATATAACAGTAACTGATTCGGAATAGGCAAGCTACAAATCCGAATATTCCACAATAACGAGATATCCTCAATTTCGAGAGAGAGAGAGAGAGAACTTTTCTCATTAAGTTACATGACGAGTAATATACAATTATACGATTATTGATAGTACGAAACGTAAAGCAATCCTAGATGCCAAATGAGGTATTCACAACAAGATATTGATAGTACGAAATTTAAAGCAATCCTAGATGCCAAATGAGGTACTTACAACAAGATAATACAAGTTGTTTTAGTTCTATTTAATGTGGTTGTAACAACAGTAAAGAAAGATATACTGTTCGAGAAGAATTCAAAAGAGCACACAGAAAAAGGGGCACAGAGGGCTCAAATAAGAGCAGCGAGTGGGATGTATTGGGCATTGGAAACAAGCAAAACATAAATCATGAACAAATCAAAGTAAATTAATGAGCTGCAAAGTGCTAAACATGAACATTGAAGTTACAGCAATAATCAATGAGACAACATACTTGTAGGATTCTTAATATGAATTTACAATAAGATATTGTTATATCCTTCTTTTTAATAGAGGGTGAACGTCTGATATCTAGACTGTGTAATGTATAGCATGCTACCGTAGGTCTATTTGCTATTTTTCCACAACGGAGTATTTAATCCGAGCAGAGACTGAAGGCTTTACCTTCTTCCCTCTATCTCGAACTACAACTCCAGCTTTATCCCAAAATAATATACGATAAATCTGTCCCTTCAATCCATGACACGACATTTTGTAATATATTCATTTGAGAAATTTACATGTCTATTCCATAAGCCTTTTAACTCAGTGTCCCCGATCTCAAGCCATGGCTTAGCCGGCCCACTGAAATGTATGACGGCTGCAGCTTCTAACATATATTTGTTGACTTGTGGATACTGATACCCCAACCCTGCCACATGCCATGAAGAATCAATGCGATGCACATAACCCTCAAATGCAATCAAGGCAGGTGGAAGTGCTCCGGGATGCCATAATACAAAACCTGAATTGAGGCTCTGAAAAATATAAAAATGAGAAAGGACATTACTATCTCAGGTGTTCAGAAAGAACAATTCTAGGGATAGAAATGATTCGAGACACAACTTCACATGGTACAAGCAAAGAGGGAGATATCAGAGTTTCAGCAGGCACAAATTAATATAAAGAATACCAGGGAATGCGCTAAATTAGACGAAAGAACACTTACAAGTTTAAGCCACTGATGATATACTGCAGTGATGTTAGTTTTCCGCCACATTTGGAGATCAAAAACATTCATGCCATAAAGCCACCCGCAACTATCATAATCCAAGTTAGATGATATGATTGGATTCGAGAAATTGAAGTAGTCCTTGTATTTTCTTCCCGGGCAACAGTCATGGCCACACCATGAGTCAAAAACTGCACCAATTACTTTCTCATTGAGATCCAAGTCCCATAAAGAAGATAAGTCACGTTGTACTACAATATCATCATCCAAGAATACAACCTTGTTCAGATCTGGAAACAGCTGTGAAATCCATGGAAATAAGATTTTTTACAAAAATAAAAAATAAAAAATTAAATCAAGTTCAAATTGAATATCCCACTCACGACCTGTCCAGAATAACCTTAGTTGAGAAATTACCTCAGGGAGATAAATGCGGAGGTGATTCAGAAGGGAGATGCAGCTGGGGCTTAGAGCTTCTAATTTGTGATCATGCTCTTGCTCGTGTACAAAACCTTCCTCCTTCAAATTTCTGTACATGTTATTCTGAATCTGGTGATGAATCTCTAACAGCTCCTTTACTCCAACATTTATTTCATGAGACCAATCATATTGATGCAATCCCTTGACTTCAACAACAGCAGAATCGATTGTGTTTACAGCAAACCAGGCATGCATCGAAGTGTATGTTTTCTTATCAGTGACCACATGAAATACCAATTTTTCAGGATTGGGAGAGGTGTTTATAGTAGACGATATGACAACCGAGGCAGCAAGGACATTGTCGGTTAGAAGAACAACGTGGTAAAAGGAAGGGTCGGTAAGGCGAGAGACAAATTCAGGTGGAGGTAAGCGAGAACGAGCTACGGCATTTATGGCATATTCTTCGGCCAACTTGAGGGAAAGGCAATGCATGCATTTAGGTACTCCATGGGAAGCTAAATGCCAGTAAATTGATTCACGGCGTTTAGCCGTTTGTACAATGTGTTCCATCTTCAAGATCTGCATAGAGAATAAAGAAGTTTGCTTTAATTTAATGTCCATTGTGATTAGCAGTTGAATTTCAAAAGAAAAGGAAAAAAGGAATAATCTGTTATAGTTTGATTGAGGATAATTACTGAAGCAACCTTTTTATCCTATAGAGCAAAAACTAATTTTCTGAACTACGAGAAAATAAAGAGTTAGTTTTTTTTGCTTGATAACCGTGGATGTCCAGGCCAGCTTGCGCGCACCTCAACTAATTCCACGAAACCCTGAAGTTTACGGTCGGGTACTCACCTCAGTGGCCCTGGGGGGACTCGAACTGGTGACCATTGGGGAGCAAACCCAAGGCCTAACCAATTGAGCAACCCCTATAAAGAGTTATTAAAAGTGATTCAAACATAATTTCAAGTATGATAGAGGGCACTTTCGAAAAAGTAGCACTCAGCCATCATGATACCTTTATCGTAGTGCATACTTTATATCTTGTTCTGGACACATAGCTGTGAAGGCAAGCAATCGACACTTACGAAAATTGGCAAAATTAAGTATCGGAGCTTTCAAATATGTCATCTAATAATGATGAATGTCAAAGATAGTATTGAAAAAGCAACGACAAATTTAGCACAAGAATAAGAAAGGTTCTTCAGTATTCTTCACTGTAGAGACCTATAACCATAAAAAGAAAAAGGTGTGTTTTGAAAGTCATTGAAACAACATTTCCAAAACTATCAGTTTAATTCCCATAATTGCAACATGATAATAAATTTGAAATATCTTCAAAATTTGCCAAGGATGGCCTTCCATTCGTACATGTAAACTACCATACCGGTGTGCTGCTCAACATATAAGCTGTTAACTCAGAGTAATGGAAGCTGCCTAACTAACACAAATATATATATATTTGTGTTATATATATATATATATATATATATATTATTTCACTTGATCAGCTAGCCCATCATTTGGCTTACTATATTTACAAAAGGCGTAACATCGTTAATTGTGTAGCTATTTCGTAGAATACAGAATCTGTTAAGTTGCGGAACCTATTATCGTCGTTGTGTGGAGTCTGTATACAGATTGACCTTCATATTAAGGTCATCGTGGGGTTTGAAAGGGGAGCAAGAAGACTCCTCTCAGGGGTGCCGGGGGTAGAGCCTCCAGATCAAAGTTTCATGAAGGATAGTTCATATTCATTATTTCAGCTTTTCCCTAATTTTATTTTATTTTATTTATAAAAAATAAGCCATCATCAAGATTTTATAACCATCATAAAAAAGAAAGAGATTAGAGAAAATAGGGCGTAGGATTTTTCTTTTGTAAACTTCTTTTCATTATTGCTCTTGATGATATAAAATTAGGGTCTAATTCTCAACAGAATCTACCTCTCATTTTCAAGGCCTGAACTTCTTAATTTTTTCTTGAGCATAGTTAATTACGTGAGTAAAATGATAATGGCCTAATATATTCCCAAGAACCTAACTCCAGTAGGGTAAAATAGTATGTTGGAACACCAACTTATCTAAAATTTTAAAATGTTACAAAGGAGAATTAAGTCCTCGTCAAACAATTATTATAAGTAGGCAACTAGAAAGTAATCCAGATTAAAAAGCAAATAAGGATATGTTAGAATTTGGGTGTGACCATAATTCTTTGTTGAAGATAATTGAGAGTTCTAATTAAAGTGCACAATAAAAATTCTATTTGGAATGCTACTGTGAAATCATATTCAAGTTTACTTGACGAATTCTAATTAAAGTTCAACATGAAAGCCCACTGGGAGTATAAATTTGTGTTAGAATTCAAGAGGACTTTGGGACGAAGAAAATCAAGTTTTTGGAGTAAAAGAACTTGAGAGTGGGCGCGGCGACGCCACGACGTCGGAAGAAAACTGTCGAACGCTACATTTTTCTTGTGTTTTTGTGATCTTTACTTCATATTGCGGCTATAATCTCTTACTTTCTCACAACAAATTGATATTAGAGCATTTCAGTCCATAACAATTGATATCAGAGCTTTTGGTGTTGAAATTCTTGGGAAGATCGAGATTTTTCGTGATGGCAACAATAAAGTATAATATTCTACTATTAAATCGCAATACAAGATTCTCCTTGTGGCAAGTGAAGATACGAACAGTACTTACTCAGATGGATTTGGACGAAGCTTTGTTGGAATTTGACAAAATGTCCATACCTTGGACTATGAAGGAAAAACAATGGAAGGATCGTAAGGCCATATCTCAAATACATCTTCATCTTTCAAATAATATTCTTCGTAACGTTTTGAAGGAAAAGTCAGCAGTTGCTTTATGATTAAAATTGAAACAATTATGCATGACGAAGAGTCTTACTAACAAATTGCATATAAAGCAACGTCTATATTCTTATCGTATAACAGAAGGTACATCTCTTGAGGATCACTTAGCTGCTTTTAAAGAAATCGTCGTTGATTTAGAGACCTTGGAGGTCAAATATGATGAAGAAGACTTGGGATTGATTTTGTTGTATTCATTCACCGCCTCATACATGTTTTTTAAAGACATGATTCTATATAGTTATGATACTCTCACCATCAAAGAAGTCTACAATACTCTATATTCAAAGGAGAAGGTTAAACATCTTGTAGCATCTGGGGATTAAGGAGATGAACTCATTGTTCATGGTGGCCGTTCAAGGGGCAAGTAAAATCTAACTTCAAATTTTGTAATTATTGCCAGAAAAAATAGCACTTGGTAAACGATTGTTATAAGTTACAAAATAAATCAAAGTCAACTACAAATCAACAATCAGAAAGTTCAGGAGAAACAAGTATTGCAGAAAATCCTAGCAGTGATGGAGAGCTTCTACTTATGTCTGACTACAACTCCAAACCTGATCAGGTTTGGATTCTTGATACAATTTACACTTGTAATATGTCACCCAATCGGGAATTGTTTTCAACATATGAAGTAGTTTCAAACGGTGTTGTGATGTCTGATAATAATACACCTTGTCGGATAGCTAGTATTGGTCGGGTAAGAATAAAGATGTTTGATGGGACGATTAGAACACTTAATAATGCAGTGAGACACGTTCCAGATCTGAATAAAAATTGTATCTCCTTAAGTACTCTTGATTCAAAAGAGTACAGATACACTGTTGAAGGTGGAGTTTTGAAAATTATCAAAGGAGCTCGTGCTGATGGGAAATATAAAATCCCATTTATATATCTTGCAGGGTGATACAAAATCTTCGAGTAATCAGCACATTATAAGAACTCATGTGGATTTAGAGTTGTCTTCTCTACCATTGGAGTCTAATTTGGGGTCTTCGTTTAAGAAAACATTTCATTTGAATTTTGAAGATAAGGGTAAATCCGCCTTGTCACCATATCGATGGTGTCATCGTATTTAATTGTTAGAAATAGACCCATTTTTTGCCATAAGGTTCCACATAGGTACAATTTTGCTGATTTTGTTGATAATTTGAATGCGATTAAGAGTGGTGATTCTAGCTGAGAATCTTCTTTTGATGCATTTAGTTGTGATTATGTTACAGGCTTGTTTCAACCTTATTTGGTGGTCATTAGATCACTTTTGCTCTTAGTTGAGGTAGTAGATGTGGAGAATATTTCCAATTGGAATTAGAGCACTCCAGTTCATAACAGGATAGGATAGTTGAAGACGTGTAATAAGTGGTTGGAAAATTATAGTTGCTACTTGGAACTACATAGTACAGATCCACTTACGATGGCTTTGGTCTTGAATGCGAAGTTTTTAATGTCCTGTCTGTTTGACATCATGTCCCTCACAAGATCCTCGAAAGACAATAGTGAATTTGAGCCCTCTGCTGTTGTAATTCCACTCTCATCATCAACAGAATTAGTTGCTTCCAGCAAGGCCATTGTTAACTCTTCTCTGAGCTTTTTTCACAGCATCCAAAAACATCATCAGCATCAGCCATCAGACAAAACAAGTAAAATCGTGTCATCAGACATTATCTACAACGTAGAATTTCTAAAAACCGTGTTGACGCATGACAGAAATAGAATTGACAACTGCCCACAAACTATTAACGTTATCATGTCAAGTGGAAGACACTTGAAAGCATTATCTCCAACCCATCATTTTCTTTCTTTCTATTTGGTTACCTACAATTATATTGGCATGATAACAAAATTAACACTGGGAAATTTCAATTTCAGTTCAATTTTACTGTCAGATAAAATGGTCAATTTCAGTTCATTTTACATACAACTTGCATCTAGAGAAGGTTATCACCGACAATCCCGAGAAATCTGCAAATCCACTGATGTATATTATGACAAAAATTTATATTTTTTTAACTCAGAATACAAGATGCCCCTATTGATCAATAGAAGTTTACTTAAGATTGAAGAGTCTCTACTTTGCAAAAGAACTGGAAAGGGTAATTTTGGCATTCCGTAAATAAAATTACTTACTAGAGTTGCATTGCTCCCGCCGAAAAACTTCCATTTTATGCATTCTGCAGAATCAAGTAAATACGTTTAAATATACAAATATATACAACACACGAAGCAAAATTAAAGCATTACCAGAAAATAAGCAAAAAAAAAAACACTTGGATATAAGCTGAGCCAAACACGTTCAAAATTACCTATGGAGGAAGAGCAAACGGTGGCGGATTCAAGAACAAGAAAAGCAATTCGAACGAAGAGAAAAGGTAAAATTAATCCAATCAACAAGATCGCCGGCATAACCACCGTTCGATGACAAATCCGGCGATTAACCGCCTTGTGCGATGAATTCTTGCCCTTCATTACCTGCCAAAAACTTCCACCGGCGGCACCGCACGATATACTCACTCTCTTTAATCCAGTCGTCGAAATATACAACTTCATATTCCGTGATTTGATTTTCGCTTCTTCTTCTTGAAGAAAGTTCTCATCTCTGATTCAGCTTCTTCTTCTACTACTCAGATAATTCAAACGTTAATTTACCTCTGAAGAATCAATTGATCAAGTTCTGCTTCACTTCAAGCTTTATCTTCCAATTGAACTTCACAAACATGCATATATACTGTGATTTGTCAAACAAATAATGCTATCATTTTGATCTTCATCAAGTAATAATCAACTATTCAACTGTGTGTGTGTGAGTGAGAGAGAGAGAGAGTGGGAGAGATAGTGGGCAGAGGGGGGCAAAAGCCAAAACCAACTCCGCGTTAAATGCCGCGGGAATTATAGATTAGCACTCGATTACTGTAATAGTACCATGTGCTTTGTTGAGTGTACGGAGAAAGTGTTAACTTCCTATATTATCCTTGTTCTGTTGTCATATTTATGATAATGACCCTTCTTTTACGAGCCTGTGACCGACACCATTTTGACTTTCCTTATGTCTTCTTTCGTCTCAACCACACGTATTGTTTTCACGATGCAAAAAAGTATAATTATAAAAAATAATGAAAAAGAAAAACAATTTATGGCCCTGTCCGTTTGGGAGGGATTTAGATTTTTTCTCATTTTCAACTACACATTTTTCAATAAAATAATATTTTCCATCACATCAATAATTTTATTGATGTACACTTTGGTATGTACCAAATTTTACAGTTTGTAACATTCACATGACTGTACCGTATACAATACAAATTTGGGCAACATGGCAACTGCATGTTGTTAACCGATAGATTCAGTTAAATACAATATCACATAATTCATTTAATTAAATCTATCAAGTGTCAATGCTTTACTCCCTAGAGTTGCTGATATCATTATTCTAAAATGTTTGTTAAAATGTCACATGATTGACAAGTGCCAACACCTTTTAGGGGTATATTAGGTAATGGATAAGAGACGCATCAAAAACTAAGTCGAAAGTAAAGTGCTCATCGAGAATAAGTTATTGTTGAACCATCTCATCTTGGTTAAGTTGTTTTAGAGGTGATACATTTATGCATTTAAGTTTAATTTTGAATGCGTCTTTTTACGTGTAGATTGAATTTTTTCAAAATAAAATAAAATGGTTGAAAACTATTTATCCATTTACATTTATCTTCAACAATTATATAAAAGTTTTTTTCTCTTCATTCTTCAGTGTATACGAAGGAAAAAAGATTAAAATAAAAAGTAGTATTGGATAGATTTGGAGTGATTGAGAGATATGGGAAGGAAGGAGCAAATGCCAACTGCCAAGAATCTGAAAAAGTTATATTCTTTTGACACAAAATATAAAAAGAAAAGGCTCAGATTATCAAATGTATGTCCCCATTTTTTAATTCTCCATCCCTTCGTCAGGAATTTTTGGAAGGTGAGATAACTAAAATATTTTCATTTTTCGCTCATACTTATTCGGTTAATTATTTTAAATAATTAAACTATACTAGGTACTATGCTAGGTAAGTTCGAGCAATGATTCATTGATCGTTGAGCAATGATCTATAATTAGGTAGCTAGCGAAACGAGTCAAAAAAAAAAAAGCAATGAGACTGCTTGCTCAAACCACGGTGGACGAAACATTGATCAAAGCAAGCAAAGGGACAACTTTCATGTTGGGCATAAGAGGTGAAACGAAGTGGAGTAACTTGATTTAAGCAATGGACGGAGAGGTTGGAAGGAACAACTATGTGACCTCATAGTTGTTCAGGGTATGCGGTCTAGGGGTGGGCATGGATTGGGTCAGGTCTGTTTTTGCATCAACCTAAACTCAACCCAACATGATCGGTTTGATCATAATTTAACCCAACCCAACCCGTGTAAAGGTTGAAACTCAACCCAACCCAATCCGTTGGATCCGGTTGGGACAACTTGTCAACAAAGATTAAAGTAAGCGGGTCGGGTTTAACGAATTTATAATGACTCATGGCTTATATAATATTTGGTCTCCATAGTTACAATGAACAAAAAATTTTGAATTATTTTGGCACTCATGCCCGAAAATGTTATATGGAGAGATTGATATTTAATTATATGAAGTCAATAAATATTTTTGTATTGAATGTGTTAATTTGATATGATCCATGATACGAGGATAAGTTCGAGCAATGATCCATTGATCGTTGCGCAATGATCTATAATTAGGTAACTAGCGAAATGAGCCAAAAAAAGCAATGGGATTACTTGCTCAAACCACGGTGGACGAAACATTGATCACGGCAAGCAAATGGACAACTTTCATGTTGGGCGTAAGAGGTGAAACAAAGTGGAGTAATTTGATTCAAACAATGGACGGAGAGGTTAGAAGGAACAACTATGTGACCTTATAGTTGTTCAGGGTATGTGGTCTAGGGGTGGGCATGGATTGGGTCGGGTCAGTTTTTGCCTCAACCCAAATTCAACCCAACATGATCGGTTTGATCATAATTTAACCCAACCCAACCCGTTTAAAGGTTGAAACCCAACCCAACCCAACCCAACCCGATCCGTCGGATCAGGTTGAGACAACTTGTCAACAAAGATTAAAGTAAGCGGGTCGGGTTTAACGAATTTATGATGACTCGTGGCTTATATAATATTTAGTCTCCAAAGTTACAATGAACAAAAAAATCTGAATTATTTTGGCACTCATGACCGAAAATGTTATATGGACAGATTGATATTAAATTTTATGAAGTCAATAAATATTTTTGTATTGAATGTGTATTTGCTTATACTATTTTTCGTAAAATGCATTCTATCAAAGTCTTATAATATTATTCTAAAAGTTTCCAAACAATATCATAACACTTGTAAAATTCATAAATATAGTCGAGTTGGATTGGACGGGGTTTATTCGGTTTTTATAAGTCAACTCGTAACCCGACCCAATCCAACCCGCATACACAACTAACCCACCCAATCTGGGGGAAAAATTAACAGACGAAGAGGTTGAACAGATGATCAGAGGAGCTGATTTGGATGGTGATGGTCAAGTCAATTATGAAGAATTTGTAAAGATGATGATGACTATTGGATGGAACTTCATTCATTTAAAGTTCAATGTTTGCTCAAATTGTTTAATTGTTGTTAAATTCTCGATGTAGTCATGATCAGAATGTAGGATCGATTTTTTTTCTTAATTGAAAAAAATCTAGGACCACCAAATTATTAGCTTTTTTAATTCGAATAATTCATTGTTGTATTTTATTTTTATTTTATTTTATGTGGGGAATTATTAATCATTGCTAATAGATGATAAGCAATGAGTTGTTTACTTGTTATCGTGATGTAATTGATTGAACAATTGATACATTAATTTCTCATACACATGTTTAAAAGTTATTATTCAAGTTTAGGAAAAACTTGGTGACATAACTCATTTCTTTAATATTACATGTTCGATAGTTAATTAGATAGCGCAAAATCTTAGAGAAAGGAAATCAAAATAAATAAATGTGAACTCTCTTCATGTCATCTACTGTAGACTATGCACATCAATAAAAAAAAATACCTAAGAAAGATCAACTCAAAGCTCCCATTTGGTTTAGATAAAAATCAATTTTTTAGTAGAGTTTGATGAAAGTTGATGATATATGAATGAAAATATGATAAAAGTTGTGGATCACGTAAAATGCATGGTTGAAAATGAGTTCGAAAAAATAAATGAGTTCTTGGGATCGAAAAAAAAAACTAAATAACTTAAAGATATGAAGAATTGATGAGCAAAGGGTATGTGAGGGAGATGATGAGTCCATGTGCCATACAAGTACTACTTGTGCCAAAAAAATATGGAACCTGGAGAATGTGTGTCGACTGCAGGGCCATCAACAATATAACAAAACAAAGGCCAATAGCATACTTAGTGAAAAGTTAAATGCAGCAGCTCTCAACTATCCTACATATGACAAGGAGTTGTTTGCACTTGTTCGAGTTTTGGAGATATGATAGCACTACATATGGCCAAAGGAGTTCGTGATTCACATCGACCACGAGTTTTTGAAGCATTTAATAATGGGTCAAGGTAAGCTAAACAAGTGACACGCAAAGTTGATGGAGTTCATCGAGACATTTTCATATGTTATTCGATACAAATAAGGTAAAGAAAATGTGGTAGCAAATGCTTTGTCAATGAGGAACGTACTTTTAACGTCTTTAGGTGCCAAATTATTAGGCTTTGAATATGTTAAGGACACTATGCTAATGATTCAGATTTTCCTAATATATACGAATCATGTGATAATGGTTCTATCGATAGATTCTGTAGGCATGGATATCTATTTCGGGAAAATAAATTGTGTTCTTAAATATTCAATGAGAGAATTATTAATACGCGAAACATGTAGTGGAGGTCTAATGGATCATTTTGGGGTTAAGAAAACCTTAGAGATGTTAGGTGAACATTTTTATTGATCTAAGAGGAAAGTTGATGTTGATCAAATTTGTAGTATATAAGGTTTTTGCTTTAGGGTTTATATACACCATTACTTGTTCCCAGTGAACCTTGGGTTGTGTATTTATTAATTTTGTATTGGGTTTACCTAGGATTAAGAAATGAAGAGATTCTATATTTGTGGTGGTAGATGATTTAGTAAGATAGCACATTTTATTCAATGTCATAAAACAGATGATGCCACCAATATTGCGGACTAATTCTTTAAGGAAGTAGTACGCTTACATGAGATTCCTAGAAGCGTTGTATCGAAAAGGGATATTAAATCTCATAGTCACTTTTGGAGGATTTTGTGGGATAAATTAAGAACCAAGCTATTGTTTTCTACTACTTATCACCCACAAACAAATGAGCAAATTGAGGTAGTTAATAGGGCTACGATACGATTGTTACGTACTATAGTTAATAAGAATTTGTAAAGTTAGGAGGAGTGTTTACCATTATAGAATTCACATATAATAGAGTTACACATTCCACTACTTTTTACTCACCTTTTGAAATTGTATATGGTTTAACCTACTTACACTTTTGG